TAGACCTTTATAATGTTATACTGGTTTTATAATAGCAAGTGTTCATAACTCCATAAATCAAAACATATATCCCGCATTGAATACAATTTCTTTTGCAAGATAGCAAGGCATTTTTTGGATTTCTTTGTGTGTTTAAACATTTAATTGTGTTTTCACTATTGATCGTTGTTGGGATTCTCTTCTTCCCAGTTGTGCGTAAATAGTAGGACAGGATCTATAGCCTCAGTTGGCAACCAGTCAAAAAGAAGGAAAATGAAGTCAAACCAACCTGAAGAGGATTGACCTCTATCATGCTATCTTGCCCAATACACACAACTTCTACCGTGGCTGCACTACAGGCAGTGTCCCTATTACCCTATTAGTGTTATGCGATTCGAGATCGTGAAAATATAACAGTCCTATTGGAATAGCGAAAGGTATCTTTCTTTCCTAAAGAACGTATTAAGCGACAGAAGAAAAAAAAATCTTTAAAACATTTTGCTAAGCGTATTGAACGACCATGGAATATATATCTGCTTGTATGTCAATGAATGCAGGAACACATGATCAACAAAAGTGTTAAGGAACATGAAATCACATTTATTTCGAATCAGAATGAGACGGTTGAAATTTCTTGGACGTATAATAAGGAAAGCGGGCATGGTGAATTTGACAATCTCAGGGCATGCGGAATGCAAGATATACGGAGAGAAGCAATGAGTAATATATGTAGCGAAGAAGAAGAAGAAGAAGAAGAAGAAGAAGAAGAAGAAGAAGAAGAAGAAGAAGATATAGAAATGCAAGGAAGAAGGAAGGGAGAAGAAAAAGAAGAATAACGAGAAGGAGGAGGAAATAGAAGAAAAAGAAAAATAAGTGGGAGAGGAAGGCGGAAGAAGAAGAAGGAGAAGAACAAAAAGAAGGAAAGGAGAAGAAAAGAATAATAATAATAAGAAATAATAATAATAATAATAATAATAAGAAGAAGAAGAAGAAGAAGAAAGGGGATGAAGATGAAGGAAGGGAGAATAAAAAGAAGAATAAGGAGAAGGAGGGGGAAGTAGAAGATGAAGGAAAAGGGAAATGGGAGAGGAAGAAGAAGAAGAGAAAGGAGGGGAAGAAAAAGAAGTAGGAAAAGGGGGAAAGAAGAAGAATAACAGGAGGAGGAAGAAGTAGTAGAAGAAGTAGGGCGAAGTAGAAGTAGGAGAAGGCGTGGCAGAAAAAGAAAAAAAACGAAGAAGAAGAAGAAGGAGGAGGATGGGGTAGAGGAGGAAGAAGGAGGAAGAGGAGAAGAAAGAAGAAGAAAGCGAAACAGGGGAAGAAGGACGGAAGAAGAAAAGGAAGAATAAGGAGAAGGATGAGGAAGTAGAAGAAGAAGCGGAAGAAAATGTGGAAGAAGAAGGGGAAGTAAAAGAAGAAGAATTACTTTGCAGTTGATTTTGTTGCATTCACATACGCAATTATCCTTAGGAAAGGTATGAATCTCTCTCTTCTTCCCAGATGTGCGTAAATAGTAGGACAGACTCTATAGCCTCAGTTGGCAACCAGTCAAAAAGAAGGAAAATGAAGCCAAACTAACCTGAAGAGGGTTGGCCTCTTATCAGGCTATCTTGTCCAATACACACCACTTCTACCGTGGCTGCACTACAAGCTGTGTCCCTATTACCCTATTAGTGTTATGCGATTCGAGATCGTGAAAATTAACAGTCCTATTGGAATAGCGAAAGGTGTCTTCCAGAAGCTAAAGAAATTATTAAGCGACAGAAAAAAAATCTTGAAAAATTGAGTTTCAGAAATTTTAAATATATATGTTTCGTGTATTGATGTATTGTAGACAGTTCTGTCTATGACGTCACATTTGGCGCTTCTAAAACTCCGTGGATGAATCCAATTAAAGCTTTTCATTATTGTTTTACCGTCCCAGGATATAGCTAAGTATGTTCGTCAAGGAACTTCATGAGCTTCTGTTACTTTCTCTATAAATTTAAATCGTTTATTTTCTTCTTCTCCGTGCCATTTCCCTTCAGGACGTTGGCGATCATGGCTCTCCACATGTTCCTGTTCTTCATAGCTCTTAATAAATGTTGTCTTTTTTTATATCTCTTAAACCATGTTCCGCCAGTCATTTACTCAAGCTCGATTTTCTTCAATGTGCCGGGTCCCCTCAGGACGTTGGTGATCAGTGCTCTCCACATCTTCCTTTCCTTCGTAGCTCTTAATTAATTTTGTCTTTTTTTATCTCTCCTAAACCATGTTCCGCCTGTCATTTACTCAAGCTAGATTTTCTTTTTCTATGTGATATCTTCCTCCAGAACGTTGGCGATCATGACTCTCCACATTTTCCTGTCTTTTGACGTTCTTAATAAATTTTGTCTTTTAGTTATCACTCCCAGACCTTGTCCAGCCATATATTTATTTAGACTAGCTTATCTTCTTCTTCCTTGTGCCGTGTCCCTTCTGAACATAAGGCGACTACGGCTCTCCACAATTTCCTGTCCTTTGTTGTTCTTAATAATTTGGTCTTTTTGGTATCGCATCTGAACTTTGTGCTGCCTTTCCTTTACTCAAGCTCGCTTTTTTTCTTTTAGGTGCCATGTTCCTTCATGACGTCGGCGATCATGGCTCTCCACAATATCCCGTCCTTTGTAGCTTCTAATAAATTTTGTCTATATGTTATCTCTCCTAATCCTTGTTCCGTCATTCATTGACTCAAGGTCGCTAGGTATGTTATGCGTTCTTTTCCTTCGTCCATCTTGCCTTCAATCTGTTCTGCAAGTGTCAGATTTACCAAATTCTCATTCCTGATTAGTTGTTCTCGATATTACAACTATCTCTTTCTGATGTACAAGCGTCTTTTTTTTTTTTGTTTTCTCGAAAATTTCATCGTTTCTCAGTCCATGGAATCCTCAGCATACTTCTGCCGAACCAAATTTCTGCTGCTTCAAATCTCTTCTTCATTTTTGAAGTGATTGTCCAGCATTCACTGCCACATCGTTGCTCACATGTTTGGTCCATGACATCCTCAGCATCCTTCTGCAGAACCACATTTCTGCTGTTTCAAGTCCCTTCATCCTAGAGAAGATTTTCTAACATTTTCTGATATTGAGTAACGGTTCAACAATATTTTTTTTTTACTTCATATTCCGTAACAAATGTGCAATTTATTTTAAAATTTGATGATAATGGATTGTTTCCTTAAATTCTCATGCCAAGAATAATACTTATAAATCGCCGCCCGCCGAGATGTGTGGGCATAGTAGCGGTTATAACCTTGCAAATGGAACGGACGAGCTGAGTTCAAAATCTAGTCAGTCCTGGTGCAGTCCCTTTTTGCACAAATGCCATTTGAAAATGCATGTAACCGTTTTCATCTCACCAAACTCGTGTGAGTTAAAAGCCTGGCAGATTTGAAAGGCAACCGGCTTAAAAGAAGGAAAACTACGGGGAAGGCCACTGAAATCAACTCCACTGTTTTTCCCAAGAAGACATGGAAATTAACTGATAATAAAAAGAATCCGTGAAGAGACCTGATCGCTTGAGTCCTGAAGTAGTCACTACAATTTCTCTAGTCGTTTATTCTTCAAGGTGAGAATTGATGGTATCTATCAGTTCGCCCACGTCGAAAGCGGAAGTGACACAATGTCGACCTTTAAAATGGGTCTATCGGCCACACAGCGCAACAATCACCACCACCAGCAGTTCCGCTTTTTGGGACGCTCCAGGAACGGGCAATAAACCTAGCTCCCTGACATGGATGAAGTACTGTCTATAAATACCATCCTATCTTGAGCTGGGGCTATTATTCTAAGAATACCAATCCCAACAAAGGTCAGGGTTAGCTTTAGCCACCCGCTATATCAACTGCAATTTATGGGGTGCAGAAATAATTTCAACTGTGAATTAATTTCAACTAGGAACTAATTTCAACTCGAAACTACTTTCAACTCAGAACTAATTTCACCTCTGAACTAAGGGTTAGCGGTTATGGTCAGGGTTAGGTTTGGGGTTAGGACTTTTTAAATCGAGTTGAAATTAATTCCGAGTTGAATTTAGTTCGGGGGTTGAAATTAGATTAAATTAATTTCGAGGAGAAATTACTTCCAAGTTGAAATTAATTCCAAGGGGAATTTAATTCCGGGTTGAAATTAATTCCAAGATGAAATTAGTTCCGTATTGAAATTAGTTCCGAATTGAAATTAATTCCGAGTTGAAATTATTTCAGAGTTGAAATTAATTCCGAGTTGAAATTAGTTTCGAGTTGAAATTAATTATGATGTGAAATTAGTTCTGAGTTTTATTTTAGTTCCAAATTGAAATTGATTCCAAGGTGAAATTAATTCCGAGTTGAAATTAGTCCGAGTTGAAATTAGTTCTGTCATTTCGATTTATGTGGTGGAGATTTGCATATGAATACAACACATGATAGTAAAAATGCTGCTTTATTCTTACTACGAACAGCAAATAAATATATCAATGTAAAAAAAAAAAATTCGGTCTGTTATTTGAAGAATGTTTTAGAAAGTGTGAAACTTCAGGGTGGGAAAAGCTTGGCGATATTTTCTGAAATTTTTTGAAAACATTATTCACAGACACACACAAAAATTTGGTATGCCCATAAAATTATCTCCTCTATAATTTTAGAAGCAATTTCATTTGTAAAAAAAAAAATCATATCTATTTAAAAAAATGACATCAACAAATGAGGTCTTTTTTTTTTTTTTATTTCGGTTGTCCTATTTTTCTTTCAGGGTTTATATTTTTTTTTTTTGTATTTTCTGTCTTGTTGCCAGAAATTCTTCTGATATTTTTAGGTTAATCGACATTCTTCACGGTTTGCTTTCTGTTCTAAATTTTCCCTCTTTTTAGATTTTTAATTTCTTTTTAATCTTTTTCTTTTCTTTTTATTTCTGTCCCATCTTTTAATACTTTCTTCCTCCATTGCTTTTATTTATTGTTAACGTCTTTTCATTTTTCCTGCTGTTGTTTTGTAAACACTTTATGTGACGGTCACTGTCGACGATTTTATGTCTTTTGTTCATTTTCTCTTTGTTGCTTTCTTTTTATTTTTCATGGAAAACTTTCTGACGCATTTAATTACTTTCTTCTCGTCATTCCTCCTTTCATTCGTTTATTCATTGTTTCCTTCCTTAGGTTCTTTCTAACTTTTATTTCTTTATTTCTTTCCTTCTTTTGATTTTCCTTTCTTTGTTGATTCGTCTTAATTATAAATTCGACAATTTTTTTTAAGCGTTTCACTGCTTTCTTTTCGACTTTTCTTCACCTATTCCTTTCTCTTTTTCTTTATTGATTTCGTTCTTTATTTATTTAATCATTTTTTTCTTTGATTTTTCATTCTTTTATATTTCTTGGTTGATTTCTATTTACTTATTCAACGGAACTTTCCATGCTTTTCTTTCTTCTATCATCAGTTCTTTCATTTTATTTATTCCATTGTAAACCTTATCCATAACCTTATCCATTTTATCCATTCTTTGTTTCTTTGTTTCTTTGTTTCTTTGTTTCTTTGTTTTTTCTTTCTTTCTTTTTCTTTCTTTTCTTTTTATTTTATTTTATTTTCTGTTAAATTCCCATAATAGTTTCATTCATTCTTTTTTTTCATTCATCTGTTATTTTAAACCTTTTATTTCTTTCTTTCTTTCTTTCTTTCTTTCTTTCTTTCTTTCTTTCTTTCTTTCTTTTTTTTTGTTATAAACCTCCCCCAAATAATTTAACTCTTTCTTTCTTTATTTCTTTCTGTCTTTATTTATTTAATCTATTCTTTTGTTTATTTCGTTGTAAACTTCTTTCTTTCTTTCTTTCTTTCTTTCTTTCTTTCTTTCTTTCTTTCTTTCTTTCTTTCCATTGCTTCTTCATTTTGTTTGTTTGAATCTTTCTTTCTGGACATTCATTATATTCTTTCTTTCTTTTTTCTTTCTTTTCTTTCTTTCTGGACATTCATTATATTCTTCTTTCTTTCTTTCTTTCTTTCTTTCTTTCTTTCATTCATTCATTCATTCATTCATCTGTTATTTTGTTTTATTTATTCCGTCGTATAATCTCCCCATAATAGTTTTGCTCTTTCTTTCTTTCTTTTTTCTTTCTTTCTATCTTTCTTTCTTTCATCTATTGTTTTATTTATTCCGTTCTATATCGCCCCATTCTTTCTTTTTTTCTTTCTTTTTTCTTTCTTTCTTTCTTTCTTTCTTTCTTTCTTTCTTTCTTTCTTTCTTTTTCCATTCATTCTTCTTCATTTTGTTTATTTTGACTCTTTCTTTCTGGACATTCATTATATTCTTTCTTTCTTTCTTTTCTTTCTTTCTTGGACATTGTTTCATTTATATTCTTCTTTCTTTCTTTCTTTCTTTTTTTTTCTTTCTTTCTTCTTTCTTTCTTTCTTTCTTTCTTTCTTTTATTTTCATTCATTCAGTTTCATTCATTCATCTGTTATTTTGTTTTATTTATTCCGTTGTATATCTTTCTTTCCTTCCTTTCTTTAATTTTTTTTCTTTCTTTCTTTCTTTCTTTCGTTTTTTTTTTCTTTAATTTAAATCTTTTTTCCTTCTTTTCTTTCATCTATTGTTTTATTTATTCCGTTCTATTCCGTTTGTAAACCTCCGAGAATAATTTAAATCTTTCTTTCCTTCTTTCTTTCTTTCTTTCTTTCTTTTTCTTTCTTTCTTTTCTTTCTTTCTTTTTTATTTTATTTATTCAGTTGTAAACCTCCCGAGAATAATTATAGTTTCTTTCTTTCTTTCTTTCTTTCTTTCTTTCTTTTCTTTCTTTCTTTCTTTCTTTCGTTTTATTTTTCTTTCTTTCTTTTTCTTTCGTTTTATTTATTTCTTTCTTGTAAACCTCTTGAGAATAATTTAAATCTTTCTTTCCTTCTTTTCTTTCATTCTTTCTTTCTTTCTTTCATTTTTTTCTTACTTTCCTTTACAACTTCGGTTCTTTTTACCCTTTTCTTTCCAAACTATTCCACACATTTCAACTGTTTCTTTTTTCTTTCTTTCTTTCTTTCTTTCTTTCTTTCTTTCTTTCTTTCTTCGTTTACCCTCTTTTTTTTTCCTTTTGGATCTTTCTTTCACCCTTACTCTTATGAAGCTTTTCCTCACTTTTAATTTTTCTTTCTTACTTTTCTTTCCTTTACGTTATATTTTCTTTCGTTTTTCTTCTTTCGTTTTTTTTTCTCATTAATATACTTCTTCTTTCTTTCTTCTTTGTTCGTTTCTTTTTTCTTTCTTTCTGCCTCCTCCCAATTTCTTTTTTTATTATTTTCTTTCAACCTCTACTGTTCTAACATTTTATCTTTTTCTTCCGAAATTCTTCCACACATTTAAAATCTCTTTCTCTCTCTCTCTCTTTCTTTCTTTCTTTCTTTCTTTACTCTTCCATTCTATATTTTCTTCTATCTTTCTTGTTCTTTCTCCCCCTTTGTTTATTCACCACATTCTAATTTACCGGCTCTTTTCCAATGTCATCTTTGCGACTATCGCCATTTTGTTTCTACTCATGGTTTTTTTTTTTTTTTTTTTCATTTTTCACTGAATGGGAATAAAAAATAAACAATCAACTGAACCCAACATCCTTGCCTTGTAATTACTGAAATTGTTTTGAATCGGAAAACCCGAAAGGCAGAAGGCTGCCTTTCCTTAATTAATACAGAAATGTCTAAACGTGCTGAGATATTAACGCAACTGTGTGTACATTCTTTTACAGGCAAAAAATATGCTTATTTATGTGAAGAAGTGTTTATCAGGATGATTTTTGTCTTAAGCTTTGAGGTGAATTGCTAACATTCAATTATGAATTTTTTTTAACTATCCACGTTTTCATTCTTGTTGTATTCTGATCAATAAAGTTGAAACAAAATAAAAATCAGTTGAATAAATACGATATGCGGATGTTTAATAAGAGTATTAGCAATCTTGATTCTTGTTGGAATTTCTAAAATTATCATTATTATACATTAATATATTCAAACTGGTATCCTTGTGACATTATCACATTAAATGATTAAGTGTTTGGCGACATCTGCTTTTGTTCTGTACTGGGCGCGGTCGGCTGCGTCGCAATCTTAATGCCACGGCTGTCATCAGGTCAATACATCAAAGTCACTCTGTTTTTATCTCTTGACAAAAATGAAGAGAACTATTATTATCTGTCTATATTTCTGAGATGAGGTATTATGTACATTATTTACATTATTCGGACTATTATCCTCATCTTTGTCACCATATCTATCACAACGTTTCGGCTGTTGTACGCTCCGGCCTTCTTCATGTGGTTGGAATTTCGAACTGAACCCTTTATTTCGCTCACTGGGGTAGACTGTTCTAGTTCCACGTGCCATGTTTGATGGATGTCAGTTATCAGTTATCTCCTTTTAATTTCCCTCTGAAAGTTCTCCACTGCCTTAACCGGGTATTGAACTCACACTCTTTGGGTCCTGTCACTGGATCTAACCAACGCCTTTATCCACTGTGCCCGTGGAACTAGAATAGTCTACCGAATAGTCCGAATAATGTAAATAATGAAGTATAATAATAATAAAATAATAATAATAATTATTATTATTATTATTATTATTTTCTTTGATATCTGGGTTTACACATTTCTTTCCGGGTCCCGCCCAGGGACCTAAGGTTAGAAATGGCAGCATGACACTTTTCACTGAAAAAAAAAAAAAAATTACAAAGATAAAGCCCTTCGTAAAGTGTAGACTGTACTTGTGAGTACAATTCTTTGTATAACTTTGAGGCATGGACTTCCAGGAATCCCTTCAATTAGTCTACTGGAATCTATTCCACCCAATCCCAGGACTACAACTACAGCAGGAATTGTTGATATTCCCATGTTCCAGATTTTTGAGATTTCTATTCCAAGGTCCTTGTATTTTGACAGCTTTTTGAATATCTTGAAAGATACATTGCAATCTGTTAAATAGTGCCTTGTATATAGTATGTATTGTTTACTTTTATTATCCCCTGTCGGGAAATTTTGATGACAATTTGTCAGTGACAGAGGTGGGGAGAGGTGAGTGAGAGAGCCTTGTCAATCTTGGAAGTTACTGACCAGCATGTTCGCTGCCAAGCAAACATTCTGACTAAAAGACCTTGAAAGGAGAAACTCACTTTTTCACCATGAAATCTCGCCATTTTCGCGAAATACTGGTTTGTCAATTCACGAACAAATATCCACTGCCATATACTTCTTTCTTCATCGTTTTCTTTCGCGGTACATTCACTTAGTCCATTCGACACTGTTGCATCACTCAAAATAATTGTTACACATGACGTCACATAAAATATTGAAAATTCAGCTTTCCAAAGAATACCAGGATAGAGATAAAGAAATTAAGATAGATATGGGCAGTGGAGAAAGAAGGGTTCAGTTCAGAATTCTCTGTACGTTATCAAGATCGATATACCACTGATGGCGACCGGAGAGCACAATTGCGAAAACACTGTGATAACTGCAGCAAAAATGAAGACATTAGTCCGAATATAAAAAGTGTACATAATGATAACACCTCATCCCAGAAATTTAGAAAAAAATGTAATAAAAATAGTTTTAATATATTTGAATCCAAATGGCGTAAGTGAAAATGGACACAAACAGACAAATCTTCATATCTGTCACTATATCTGAGATGAGGTATTATGTACACTATTTACATTATTGTCCTCATTTTGTCACCATATTTATTATAACGTTTCGGCCGTTGTACGCTCCGGCCTTCTTCAGGTGGTTGGAATGTCGAACTGAATCCTTTATTTCACTCACTGGGGTATACTATCCTAGTTCCACGTAGCATGTATAATGGATGTCACTTATTAGTTATCTCCTGTTAATTCCCTCTTCAAGTTTGCCATTTGCCATTTATGCCCCTGAGTACACATGGCACAGTGGATAAAGGTGTTGGTTAGATCCAGTGACAGGACCCAAAGAGTGCGAGTTCAATACCTGGTTAAGGCGGTGGAGAACTTTGAGAAGGGAATTAACAGGAGATATTGCAAGTGAGAGCAAAGTGCAGAATATAAATAACTGTAAGGTTCACAGCATTCATTGATCACCGCTAGTTTCTCACCGAGGTAAGCTTGTATTATATTTGATTCTTTTATATATATATATATATATATATATATATATATATATATATATATATATATATATATATATATATATATATATATATATATATATATATATATATATATATATATATATATATCTATTCTCATTGAGTTTATGTATCTTGTTCGTCAAATTCGTTGTGGGTTATTTACTTCACCTTTGTTTCGGAATTTCCTTTAAATTTATTTTTTATAAAAGTAATAATATTATATTCATAAAATAGTTAATACTAATAGATACATGCAATTACACTTTTACTTTTATATATATATATATATATATATACATGTAAACCATATATATATATCTTTTTCGTCAAACTCGATGCAAACTGAGTGACGTCAGTTCTCTCTCAAAAAACGACTTTGCGCTAAAACGTAGCTACGAATCTCTTTTTCTAAAAGTAATAATTTTATATTCATACAAATGTGGCACCATTTACGAGGCAGAGAAAGGAAGTGAAGGAAAAGAAGGCAGAAAGAAAGGCGATACGAATCGTAGGTGATAAGCATCCACACACACGGCTAAGAGACAATGAAAATATTGATAAGTAACAAATGAAAAAGGGTGTCATTACAATGGCAGGGAATTTCTGAGTAAAAAAGAAATGGAAAGAAAGAAGGAATCAGATGTGTTTTCATAACGGCTGTGTTATCTAGGCTGGACCACTGGCCAGGGAAAAATTCAAGTGAAAATGCTATTTCAATAAGTGACGAGAAACAGGCCACTAAAAAGGACTTTGGACAGATATGAAAAATTAAATCCCACACAAGCAGTCTCGCTGACCGAATTCTTTTCGACGAAACAACTTTGGCCTGCGATAATAAAATTATGTTATCAGGAATATGTATCGAAGGAAAATGAATGGGGACCCAGAAGTGTTTTTCTTTCTTCCTTGGAGGCGACAGACTGACTGAAAACTTTGGGGATATTTCTTTTTTGAAGCCATGTTAAGAATACCACCCATCTTGATAAATTAGCGATAAAATACCTGACAAACACCACGTGTAAAACAAGAGTTGTCATATTGTCCGTATCGACTAGAAGGGTGATAACGGCGATTGAAAGGAAGAAAAGGGAAAGAGAAGAGATAATTTTTTTTTAGTTAAGCAAGATATTTTTTTTCCCGAAACAAAGCCACGGATTGTTCACGCCCGACTAAGACATCATTGGTCAAGTGGTGATCACGTGACGCACGAAGGAGGAGGAAAGATACCCGACCAAGACCTCATTGGCCGAGAGTGATCACGTGACGCACGAAGAAGGCTGTCGACGCCCCATCCGGAGTATAAGTATGAGAAGCTGCTACGAAGAAGTGGGGAGGGCAGTTCACGCCCCTCAGAGGTATGGTGAGAAAGTGGGAGTGAGGAAGGTTTCCCAAAAATGGAAAAGAGTGGAAAATCCCTAACCAGAAAAAAAAGAGGTGGATATGTATTTAGAATTATCGAGGAACACCCCGACGCCAACAGAACCACCCCGGTTTTGGTTGGCGTCAATAAAAGCGAGGCCCCAACAGGCAGAAATCAGTTCGGGCTCGAGTTTCCAGAGTTGAGTTCCCAGAGTCAGTCTCCAGTTGAAACCGCCTCGGAGATAGCTGACCAAGATTCACGCAAAATTCCGGACTCCTCTTCAACCCAAGAACAATTATTTTGAAGAGCGACTTAGAACCAGACCACCGAACCCAGCATTTGCCTTCGATTTATTAGATAATGATATATAATGGGCCGCAATGCAAAATGAGGTTCTTGCTGTTGGTTTTAGTTAAAGAAAGTTTGATAAATGCTGGCTGGACATGTCGACCGCATTTATATCGCCTCGACTATTTAGGCAAGAAATACTTTTCTTGGGTGCGGTGTCAGGGTTATCTTGTTATGAGCTGCTGCTGTTTGTGAGACACGCTGATTGTAAAAAACAAAACAAAACAAAAAAAAACAAACAAAAAACAAAAACAAAAACAAAAACACTATATGATTCATTTGTATGCTATTTAATGAAGTTTTATTATGTTAAATTAGGAATAGTCTCTACAAATTTAATGCACCTATATATATATATATATATATATATATATATATATATATATATATATATATATGCAACTGTATTTGTAAAATTGTACCAATGTTATTCTTATTATGAAGAATATACATTAATATAGTTACG